TTAGAATTTAGAACCGTCCGTCATACATCGAATGCTTCCGGTGACTGTATAAAAAGCTCTAAAATGAGCAGTTTCCTTTTGCAGTCCGCCGAAAAACGCTGCAGGAAATTATCTTTAAATAAGTAAATAAATATGGTGAAAAAAATTAGAAAAAATCTGATAATTTTTTAAAAGGCGCTCCTTTGGACAAGTCTCGAAAAGCCTCCGAACTGGCATATACACATCTAGACGACGAAGGATAACTTCACTCATTCCTGGTCGTTTCCTAATGTAAGGCTACACGGTAGTGAGGTCGAAGACAAGGGTATGTGTCTATCAAGACGAATTTCTTGCAAATAGTCATATCGCGCAAACATACGACGAAACACTGGCCTAATTCACTGTGTTACGCTTATTAAACATACAAAAATATAACGCATACGAAAAAGAGGTTTCATCTTTGCACGGACGGCATTACACGCTAGCAAGCCCAGTATACTTACCAGGCTTGTAATGCCTATATAGCAGTCATGCGGCTTGTTGCGAAAACGAAGGACAGCAACAATAATAAGCGAAATTGGATATATTAATAAAACAGGCCAACATAAACTGGAACAAAAGTGACCACCACAGGAGCCTGGTGGTTCTGCTCAAATGAATTTTGTCACACTCTGCTGAGAGTTCGTTGTTCCCATGCCTTATCAGCGGTGTAGTATTGCATCCATCATCTATAAACAGATACCGGTACTTGGCGGAAATGTTGGTGCTATCAATGGTAAAAACGATTACGCAGAAAGCGTCTATGTACCAATATACGCTAATGAATTTGGCTAATACTGTGCTTACAGGATAAAATGTACCCAACCCCAGACATACAAGCGCTAGACAATTAACCGAATGTTAGATCTACTCGTGGTAGCACAACCATTTTTATAAATTATCACATATTGCTAATAGCAAAGCGGACAAGGGAAATAACAAATCATCATCACTATAAATACTAAGACCAAAAGTGGATTCACGCAAAGGTAAGTAATATTTATTTATAGTCCTTAGGAAAAGTCAGCAACAATCATTCACTTTGATTCTATCGAAATATCACTTTAGCGTTAGCACAACGTTTTCGTGCAGATTATCCCTTATATTGTATGTGATTCTGTACGAAACGCTATTTGCATGGGTGCGCGAACCGGACAATCGACAAGGGAACTGGGTGACTAATCCCAGCTGAACAAAGCCCATTAGCCAATTCATCTGAACAGTGTTCCTCTCTGGAACTCCACATGGCTATACAACGACGTCAGGATTATAGACATCTGATTATCGAATATTTGAAGGCTACAGTGTAAAAATGCCTTCATTCAAGAGGCTGGTAAATTCAGCTATCTAGGGCGCGCTTCTGCACTTCATATCGAAATATTAATTTTTATGGGTTATGCCACTCTTGTACCCACTGCTGTTTATCAAAACAATGTTTGTGTGGCAAACATTTTTTCCATTGCCTCTGTAGGCTACCCACATAGAGCTTTTCGTTAGTGACTACCCACATCGATCTGTAGCAGGTATGAAACGTTTTACTATACGATAGATGTCATTTTAGCTTTCATAGAATCAGTCTTTCCAGCAAGAATTTTGATGTCGATAGGTTTCATCTCAGCATTTGGAGCGCTGCTATTAACAAGGTTCAGATCACACGACCTCACATTAATAAATTAGAATGGACTTTGTGTTCCTTAAGAGGTGAAGCTGAGGTATTGCTTTGAGCACGCCTCCAGGACGAAGCTAATCTGAAAGATAATCAAGTGCATTTTGGCAAGTTTACAAAGGACCCGCCCTTATAATATTAATTGAATAGAAAAAGAATAGTCTAGACACTTCATGTAAGGCTTATACGACTCGCTTCATGTCTCGTAAGAGCGCTGCAGTCTGTGTTAAGTTTGTGGCTATCTGTTTCGAACAGGGGTGGTTAGCTAATAGCAGAAAGCGTTGATTAGGCGCCAAGCTTTCAGCAATGATTGAGGGCGGAAACAGGTCATTTAAATTAAGGATTATAAGTAAACTCCTCCGCCATTCTTCTATCGTTACCCTTTTATTAATCAAGGAAAAGCCGTTGACGATTCAGAAGGACACAACGGTCAGTCGATAGCCAAGAGGTGAGCGGCATTACCTACCTGCAAGCGTGGGGTTTACCGGGAGGGAGCGCTGCTATTAACAAGGTTCAGGTCACACGACCTCACATATCTAGGACGGACGAGGAAACATCAGTGTGCTTGTCTGAACCAGTATAGCACCATATCTTCTCTGGGCTGGATTGTGTATATATATATGTAAGAATACCAATACTAGGAAAGAAATTCTATCGAAGTACAGTTGTACGTTAATTGTTATGTGTGCATAGGGCAAATGTTTTAATTCTTCTATTTTTTTTTATTTTGAAATGATGAAACCTTTATGAAAATTTCATAGGAAATCCCGTAAGTGCAATACAAATAGTATATGGCAATGTCAAAGAAGAGTGCTGCGTCATCTGCCGTCTGTCCAGAAGAATGTAAAAGAGATTCATCGGTCTAGGTTTTACACTCAAGAAGGCTCGTTCATGGACGAGCTGGGGCTGAGTACGAATTAGGTCGGAGCAAAACTCAATCTATTGATTTGCTAATGTCATTAATTTTACTACAAGGTTTGAATGACCAAATAAATTCTGAAAATTCAATACCTGTTACAGCACTCCGAAGAACTCTAGAAACTTTGGTAAATGTCGCAACTGTCGATGTTTTTATATGTGCTACAGAGAAAAATATCGTGGACGTGCAAGAATGAATAGCTAGATCTTGAATGTTAGTGTACGCAAATGTGGATTTGTGATTCTTCAATACAATTTGCTATCATAGATACTCCCACTGTATCCTCATCCTTATTCTTTTTTCTTTTTTTTTAATAAAGCAGTGCTATATTCGTTAGCCATTTAACTACGGAAAATTTTCTTTAAGTGCCATTGTGGCGTTGGCATGCCACACATTTGAAGAACTGCGGTACGCTTCTATAATTTAGAACGAGAAGTAACCTATACAACTTCAGTCGAAGCAATGAGTAGTCCCTATTATCGCTAGGGAGACGTGAGCCAGCACCCTGTAGTTATTCACTGGTAAAAGATGAACAGACGGATCAATGGACGAATCAACCGAAATATTTTTCCAGTTAAATATGTTTTCGCGTCACCCTTTTGTACCGCTGGAAGCACTACCAAGATTAGTTTTTAGAGCTGCGTTTTTCTTCAGTGTTTTTCGACCAAATTTAGAAAAGCTCACTACTGTCAGCAGAAAGCTTTGTAAATTCCCTTTCTCTTTTATTGTTTCAAACTTCAGGGTACTACCCAAAATATACGCTTACAAAACTATCCTGATATGTACTTACGTGAACACAAACGCCTGCCACATAAACAGAGGGATACTGTATAAAAACGGTTTCACGCAATTACAAACATCAAAGCATTACTTACAACACAAATAGTTCGACCCTGCCCCAAAGGCTGGAAGAAAACCAAGTTTCCTTTCGCAAACTTTTGTAAATCGCCCTTGCAAGGGTAGAAGCAATTTATATTACACATAGCTACGAGAAATGTTGCACCGAAGCCAAGTGCTTGTGACAAATTTATTTTGCATAAATTAAAAAAAGCGAGACATTGCAAACAGAATATTTTTTTTTCTTTCCATAAAACGAGGGAAAGAGCATGCGTCTAGGCTTGCCCATCTAAATGGGTAAACTTAAAGTTCTGTTGTACAAGTTTTCTCACAAAGTAGATGATTTCGTCCCTCTTCAATCAAAGGATTAAAGCTTTTAGAATTAATCTGCAGGTGACTGTCAGGTGCCCTTCTTACTCCGTAAATCATAGTTTCGCAATTTTTTTTTGTCAAGGGAGCTGTACTTTTCCATGGTATTTTTTAAAAATCACGTTTCTAACATTCCTCGAAAAAACATTGGATGCATCAGGGTTATCCACATAATGTGCGTTGAGAAGCTCAGTCCACGCGAAACTTCGTGAGAGCCAAATGCGAAAGGCTATTTAGGTTCAGACGTGTTGCATTATTGATAGGGTAAAAATGACAACTATTAAAACATTTCCTACTATACGATGTTCTACTATTTGGAACTGGAGTCAATAACTAATAACTATTCTTCTAACAATGAAAACCTTTTCTTCGACAGAGACACTTAAGACATTACATTCATTCTCCTGATGCGACCAAGAGTGCCCTTTGCATATATGTATGACCTCATATCAAAGACTTTCTTAGTTTATAACGTGAAGACCTTAACGTATAAATAGTTCGACTGCGCCCAAATTGACATACTATAAATTGTACTTTGGCAGAATCTTTAATCTTATTCCAATGAATCCAGTACAGATTCATTTATTTTTTGTCACGATTACGCCACGTATTTGGTAACCAAATCTTAGCTTAGCACACCTGACTGCAAGCTCAAAATCAATATTACATGAACCTAATGTTTTATGTGCACCTGACATATTCGAATTTTTAGTAAGCTTATTCGAGACGATAAGTTTTTGTACCTTCTGCACTACCAACTTGAGTAAATTTGTTGTTTAGTTGTTGTTTAATGTGTAGCATTTAATATCATCTTTGTTAAGACACCCTACGTTCGTCTGAAGTAGATTATACAATCTCGCTATAGATATGGAAATATATGTATTTTCCGGGTGCGCTTTTTTATTCCAACTGAAGGTTTCCGTTGCTCACATAGTCAACCGTTATTACATCGGTACGCCAAATGTAAAAGGTACAAAATAGCATGCAGGGTGTAGCAACTACGTATTACGCAGCATTCTGCTTTTTTTTTTTTTGTTTAAGGTGGTCTAATTACCTCAGATAGATATGAAAAGCCTAGCAGTTGCTTTCTCTTTACATATTAAAGTAAACATAATAAGTGCATGTGTGTGTGTGTATATATATATATATATATATATATATAGTTTATGCGTTGGTTGGTGATTGTTACAGGTTCTGCATGGTGTTCGCCTGCCTCGTTCTTAGCGTATTTGCGACGATCGACACGTACGAGGCAAAGGCGTCATATATCCTCCTGCAGATGGAAATCGTAATGGTCGTTTGGTTCACTATTGAATTCTTCTGTCGACTTTGGTCGGCTGGCTGCCGCTCAAGATACCAAGGATGGTGGGGAAGACTTCGATTTTTGAGAAGCCCCTTTTGTGTTATCGGTGAGTACATAATCGTTTTTGTAGGCAATTTAGGTATTTACCTCCTGGTCAACGATTGTAGCTAATATTCATAATTCACCTAAACAGTTTACGGCACATTTGCTAACTTTCCAAATAATATATACCCATTATTATTAATTAAGAGCTAACTATCTAGTTTATAGGAATAATAATGTAGACGTATTGGTAGAAGAAACAGGCACCTGTCCTTTTTACTGTAACGCAAATTCGTATACATGAAACCTAAGGCGGAACTGTTTTTTTACGGCACATATGCGCTTGTCTAATCGCCTGTGCTCCTTCACCCCCAATCTTTCTTGACATCTATTATTCAAGGTTGCTAAGGTTTATCTAATATTTTTACTAGGTGACAATCGGTAAAATCACTTGCAAATGTTCTATCATAAAAAACTATTGCGGAATGTCCGTCTCGAATTTTTCACGAAGCCGTCGTAGTAACTAGACTTTCAGACGTTGAAATTCACTTAAATAATGATACTGAATCATTACAGAGTAGCTGAATGAAGGTTCTAATTAAATACCACATCAATTTATGGTGGCCTTGAATAAAATATAAACACTCGATGCAATTGCTACTCGAGTTACGTCTGCCCGTTAATCCATCTAGCATCATGTACTTCCAAAATGATGATGGACAGTCCATTTGGATTCCAAAAGAATATACTAGCAGTTAATTAGCTTGGCATCAGAACATAAGCCAAATGCTATTTGTAGTATAATTGCTTTAAAAAGTAAATTGAGGTTAAGCTGATCATCCTTTATAATGGTATGGTTTCGTACTCAGGGCGTTCGACCTGTACCGCTCGCTAGCGACTGGTTGCTTCCATGGGCAACTAGTTCGTATACAATAGGATGAAAAATATAGAACAGTAGTCCCCGTAATTAGAGCGGTCGGTTTGTAATAGTAGAAGAGATGACTACGGCGAATGCTGGAGAGTGACCAACGCGTGTGTCGAAGTACGGGATCAACGATGCCCTATCCAGAAGCGTCCAACTGACCTCTGGCTTATGTTCCCCCCTTTTCTCGCAATTCATAGCTTCGCGACTCGACAAAGCATGAGTCACTAGTCAAACAGCCCTGAGGATGTCAGTAGCTCTAGTAGAACAAGCAAATAGAGTACGAGGAGCGGAAAACGAAATCGTGCACGCATGGAACGCTACGTCTTCTTTGCTTCGTCGTGGTGCTGTTGTTAGCGTTAGCGACTACCAGCGCCCGATGGTCTTGGAAAAAATGATAGTACTCATGCAAATTATTCGTGGGCTCAGATAGAGTAAGTGGCTTATTATTTAGCGTATTGAATTATATTAGAGGACCACGAAAGAGAAGTAGGGCAATTCCTGAGGGAGAAAGGAGGGCGCAGTGTTCTGTTAGAGATCAAGGATATTTGATCATGTACAATTACTTTTTTGTATCTTATGAACGTCGGCACGAAGTAGTACAAATATTGTCTAGTTTCGTGTCCTAACCCCCGCTCGTATCTGTCTTTAAGGAATCTTAGTAACGTTCGGAATAGTTTTTCAAAAGTTACCTGCAAAATGCGCAAGAAGATGTAGAAAAACACGATGTAGAATTAACGTTGATCAACAAAAAGTGGAAAAATTTGGCCATATATAAAAAAAAAGCAACAGTGAAGCGTCCAGCGTACACCATTATGGTGTACGCTGGACGCTTGTTCCAACTTGGCTTCTTCTTCGTAGAGTCCTTCTTCCTACACAACGGGTTCAATGGCTGAGTTTAAATGCGGAAACTTTGAAAAAGGCACCAGAGATCTTGTGGTCGACAAACTGATAGACGGAGTTCGTTCACTGCTACGAAGAACTTTATATACAGTTGTTACAATAGAAGATGCAGTTATAGCAAATGCCTGGCGAGATAGCCGTTCCACATTGCTACTCATTCTCTCGATGAAACAAGGAATCTATATGACTCGATATATTATTCTTACCGCAGTACAGACCGAATTTCACGTCACTTTTCATTTCTTGTTTGCTGATTGGTTCGCTGATAAACACTGAGTTACTATTAGCAATGGCTGTTAGCGAGAGACTAGCAGGCGTACATGAGTTTACCTTATATCCCATCGCCATCGCCATCTGGTCAACCATATCAGGTACAACAGTTCAGGATTCAGCACCATCTAGCCCTTCCCAATTTATAGGACAGCATGCACAACAAATAGGACATTTAGACCAATGGACTGCAACATGAGGCCGCATATTTTCCATTTCTTCTCTATCTCTCTTCCCCCAACTCCATTTCCTGCTCCTGTTTTAATTCACCTTTCTTGCCGTTGCCCTCCTCTCTAAAAGCCAGGGTTATAAAACTTTATATGCGTCAGGTCAATTTCGATTGCGCGTCCATTAGACGCACTGAAGTAACATCCGGCATTAGCAGTTTGCCAGATGAACTTGCCGAGGTCCATTTACGGCCACAGAGAGTAGTGATGAGGAGTAAGAGCTTGCTCTTATTTTTTCGCTGCCAACATACATGTCAACGGTCAATATAGAACAGTTTACTGTAACTGCGACCAACCAAGTTGTGCTTCAGAAGAAGTCAAAACTCAGAAGAGTTTTGTCGGCCCTCTTTCCAACCCCCCTTATTCATCCCTTACAAGTGGCATATGTATAAGTGGTAACTCGGTCGGTAGTAAGCAGCTTTACTCGCATGTTCTGCACCTGTCTGTCAAAGACGTCGTGACAATTTTGTAAAAGTCTATATCTTGCTTTGCCTCTGAACCTAGCGATTTTTTTTAAGCATTATTCTTAATCAATTTTGCACGTTGTAGTTGTCTTTTATGATACTGAACTATGCCTGCTTAAGGAGCTGCTTGATCGAGCTTTACAATTCGAAGTTTGTACTTGCGCATAAAATTTGCATTGATCTTAAAAGTCTCTACGTATTTTGTTAGAGGATTTGTACGAGCATAGCGCCGCGTCTACATCTATCGCGAATATAACTGAATATCACAGTGCCTTTATTTTATCGATCATTTTTGATACGACACAAAATTCGTAAGCAATATTTTTCATAATTATCGCGCCCACATGGAGAGATGGAAGGTCTCTTCAATTTAACCAACTGAATTGATTGATGTCCAATGAAGTGTTGTCGACCCAGTCCGGTAGGAACATCATCATCTACTATGGTAAAATTGTATCAATAGCTGTATGTGTTAGACGTACTTTTTCTGTTGAGATTTGTCTCAGTGCGCTAGCAGCTAGCTGCTATTCGCATTCCTATATATAATTTCTCGATGCATGGCTTCTCGAAGTAGATCGAAAGTGGGGTCTGCTTGCCTACTAATCGCTCTTTTTAGGGCCTAGAGAACTTTATAATGAATGACACGAGGGTAGATCGGGAGAACGAGCGGATTGAAGCTAACGTCGAATATCTCTTTGATCTGTCCAGAAAGTAATTAAGGTTGCTTTTTACTAAGTAGCCAAACTGTGTGCTTTGGATTGAAGTGCCAACGGTCCATGAATCTCTTGAGGAATTTGAAACAGCGGTACGCGTTTATTATTTCATTTTCGGAAAGTATCTCATAGCAACAGATGCCCCTGATATCACTCGCAGATATTACCATTATCTTACACCCGACACTGAAGTTAACGCTCAATTTCTTCCCGAGGCGTCGCCATTCTCTGATCTGGCTTTTCTCCCTGCTGGCAGTAGTGACTCAGCTGCGCTACGCCTATTGCGATTGTATGCGGCAGGGGGATTTTTTCTTGTTAAGATTCCGTAATTTGCATGTGGAATATACTACAACGGACCTGAAGTTAAATCGTGTAGGACCAATCATTTACCCAGTTGTTGCATTTTCAGTATTCGGATTACGACTCTGTACATTGCTATATGTGGAATGGGTCGCTACGTTCTTCTCCAATACCCCAATCCCCGTTCCTAAAGCTTTTTACCATTCACGTACTTAAGGCATCTTTGCTTAATATATTCACCAATGTTCGATGATATTCCGGAGCACTGCAGCCTTTAGGCACCAAAAAGTCGGCCACTGAGCGTTAATTTTCAAGACATAAAAATTGTTTTTCGTTCTGAAATTGGTTTAGATAACTACATTACACTGCATTCACAAATGTATAGAAAAATGGGGTATTTACCAGCTGAATTTCGTCTGCTAATTCAAAAGTTAATCAGCGTAACTTGCGTGTAACAGCTTGATTATTTCCAATAATAAATTTGATGCTGTTTGTGTGACCTCCTATAGTTTAATTTCTTGTGATGGTTAATAGAGATTCTCACTTTTACGTACATCAGGACAGCCTGTTATTATACTTTCGTATTATTGCTGCGATTTCTGGATACGACTTCACCTGCACGGACCTAATTCGTTGCTAATTTTTTTCAACTTTTCCTACCTACCTACCTACCTACGTACCTACCTACCGATTTGATCACACGTTGTTTATTTTATGGAATAAGTACAATTATTATATAATCAATAGAACGTTAGACCATGACGAATGTTTAGATGTACATCATACACATCTTCAAGTGTATTGAAAGAGAAAACATAATATTATTCGGGTAATTGTCTTTGATCAGATTCAGTATCGATAAGTAACGTTGTTGCAAAAGCACAGGGTGGAACGTACACCAGATTTACAAAATGAATTCCCAAAGATCGTTGCGCATTACGAACCAGTAGAGGCTCTTCTCCTGGTTCGGCATTGTATTCTGGGAAGGAGCTTTAAAGCAATTGCCTAGCAACTCTCTCAGCCTATAAGGCAGCAAAGATTTGAGTAGCTTCCTGTAGATTGAACCCCTATTCTTCTTTTATCAGAGAGGCTACCTCAATACTCGATACTATCGTGGTTCAGCAAAGCTTTTCAAATATTGATTGCGGTACTAATACGTTCAGTGTATAAGCCGAGTTATATTTCATTCGCCAAACTATTCAATTTTTTATATACTAGAGCTTTGAGCCAAGCTATTCGATAATATAAAAGCCGCAGTAAAGCCCTTCTTTCAAATTATTATATATGACTATCCGTGTCATTCCGGTTATACTCAGCCCTTTTCCGTACACTATTGTTGGGAGAATGTGGCAACTGGCTCAGCTGTTGCAAACCTTTTATGCTGACTATGGAGAAGATCACCGCACGGAACAAAATTACCCGTTTTGCTTTCACGGATTAGGGTGCAATAACTTGACAGTACCTCTAGGTTATCTTCTTTCTGGTGCTTCGGCGGTTTCTGACCCTGAACCGTGAGGAACCGTTAGGAAAAGGAAACCATAGAAGAGGGCTCTTTTTTTAGTCACACTTATCGTCGATGCTATTTAAACAGTGACCGATCAGAACCTTTCTAATAAATTGTCTCGGTGGACCTAAGTAGTGCTTGCATTGGGACCGAAATCGTCAGACTAAGTTAAGATCGTAGATGTTTGTTTCAGCGTACTGATCATCGGCAGCGTTGTAATATCATGATCCTGATAACTCCTCTACGTTCTTGTCGTACCGTGAAGATGAGTCGGCTTCAATGAATGCTCGATCGCTAGTGCAAATACGTTAAACCGGATAGATTCATTGGCATTAATGTAGACCGCTAATATTTGAATAACGAGTGGATAAAAGTGTAGTGTTTTTAGATAGGGCCTCTGTTTTAGTTGAGTTACCGTCAGCTGTAAAACAGATGAGCTTCCTAGTTTCATATCGACTGGAGATATCAAACTTTTTCTACTAAACGTGTTTCAACATCGTGACTCAAATTCAAACCTGTTTCAACAAAAAAATAACTATTGTACTAAAAAAATATTGTCAATCGTAGGGTAATGGAGCCGTTTGCACGGTATTTCGAGCAACAAATAGAGAAAGGAAATCAGTAACAACGAGCCTTTAGAGGTTTCAGGCCTCACATATTTTATTAGTTGTGCATGCGTTTTAAATTGTTGTATTGTATGCTTAACAACATACGTTTGTTTTTTTGTACGTGGATTGGATCGGGCTCTTGCGCAGATACATTCTATCGATAGTGACTGAAATATGGGCTGTTCAGCGGCCATATATCCAAACATTCCAAAACATGCTCATATTCTCAAACTGTCGACCCTGCGCTAACCGTGCGGGTTGATCTTAAGTTTTGGAGTTTTCCTTTGGGCGCTTTAGCTACCCACAATGGTACAATTGTTTATTAGCTATAGAGATAAGCTTCTCTAGTGATGCATCCGGATATATAGCGGTAACATCACGTTTCCTTCAGAGGACAGCACACTCAGGACGTGAACATTGAACCGAAAGCTTGCTTTTACGCGTTAGAGGCACATCCTCTTGCTCGTGAGCGAGTCAGCGATGGTTTCTGCTGATGAATTTTCTATCAATATAAAAGCCTTTTCGTTAAAGAGGATATGAAGACTGCTTATTGCCTTAGTCTTGAGAGAACTGAACAGGGAACTATCGATTCCATTGGCTTTATTACCCAAAAAGGACACTTGTCAAACTTTGTTGACACATGACGCATTTTGTGATCAATCAACGACATAATAAACATTCTTTTGTCGACGACCTAATCTAAATATTGGAAATACATCTTCGGGTGAGGTCGTTGAAGTATGAGGTCTGCGTTACTTTTTGTCAGTCGTGGACATTGTCTTGTTAATTTCGCTGGTGTCATTTTGACAACCGCATATGCATTTGCGTCAACTGTTGATTTGAAGCAGCCGCACAAGACTATAATATTTGTCCTGGCGGGGGAGAATAGCTGATCTCGTGTAAATTACAGAGAAGCGAACTGATTTTCGAAATGGCTGCAAGTTGGTTTTCTGGAACGAGCTTTACTTTAGCACGTTTATCGGCTCCAGATAAACGCATTTGGACAACTACAGGCGACCAGCCAGGAGCGGTATTGCGTTAGCTGCTGTACTTACTTCTTAACTAATCTTATATGTTTGCCATATATATTTGCATCTCCACACATTGGTGTGACTCTATTTACCTTCGATAACAGTACGTATATGCACATTTTAATCATCCTCATATTTCTGTATTTTAAATTGCAGATATAGTCGTAATAGTGGCGTCGATCGTCGTTCTGGCACTCGGGACCCAAAAATTCGCTGCCTCGGCTCTCCGAGGATTGCGGTTCTTTCAAATTTTGCGTATGGTCCGTATGGATCGCCGTGGCGGCACGTGGAAACTTCTAGGCTCCGTCGTGTACGCGCATCGTCAGGAACTAATAACTACTCTTTATATCGGCTTTCTTGGTAAGTTTAAGAGAGCTAGGCAAAACAAACTATGCGCAGCAAGTTTCCTCCCAGCGTGCATCAACAAGCCGTATTGGAGCATCATTTTACCATACTTTAATCAAATAGATGCAGACTTGGCAAATTTCCTTCACTTAAAATGTAAATCGTCTAACAAAAACTGATGGGTAAGCTAAGCGCGTATGCTCGTAACTTCTAATAGTTGTACTTGATGACTAATAACCGTGCCCGGATCAAACCTATATCATGCAATGTTCGCAGCAGTGGAATAGGAAGGTTAACAGGGTGTATCTTGCGCAAAAACATGCCCAGATATATTGCGCATGGCCATTTTTAGGCTTTCAAATATGTGTCACTTTAGAACAGTGTGCATGTTTAACAAGTTGAGTTATTATTATTAATCCTTTCTACTCCTCGGTCATCTCAGTTGTGATTAAAGACGCTGTTCTTCAGCTCAAACCAATACGTATACCTTGCACATGTGCAACCACACTCCGCCGACCTCAAGCATATATTTCAAACGCTTGATAGGCCAAATTGATTATTCGACGTTTACGCTTCTGATAAAAAATTTAAAGCTTGTATAGGAACATGATTGACTCGCTGTATCATTTGGACGTCCGGAACAGTTTTCGGGGCAGCGCGAAGTAAAACCTCGCTTAGTTAAGTTATCTATTCATAATGGGGGAATGGCTGAGTCGATTTGTCAAAACATTTCGTTTTTTACCAATTCCATCTCCACCCTTAACACCCCCCTGACTCAGAATTTGGCTGGATGGTCTGATCACCATATAATGGTGCGTCATTCCGCCTGACTGAGCTCCATTAACTATATACAAGGAGCAAGCAGGTTATCTCTTTTGAATATATCTCCTCTTGTTCTATACCACCCTTGTGTATTTATACAGGTAAATAAATTCGTTTTTGACCTACATTATTTAGTTATCGTTTAGTCTGCAATCTGACCAAGGTCCCGGATAGGCTGCTCTGACAGCTTAACTAAGCTAATGCTGCTCCGACTGCTGCTTCTGCTACACCAACGAAAGCGACTCTATTAAGGCCGTCGACCGCGTCCAAGAAATCCTCTGACTCGAATTTTACTCTACGGCATTGTTCCTCCTATGGTGTTACGACATGCCTTTGATAACCTGCATCTGCCTTTACGAAGCAAGGTAATCACAACGTAAATGGATTATGCAACGCCGTTACGCCCTACTGCGTTACTAAGTGTTTCTACTGTATTATCCTCGTCTTCTCGGCGGACTGTCAATCAAAAGCACGTTGACTAACACGGCTTCCAGATTCGGCTAAGAGTAAGTGGATCATTCAATCCACATCAACTATAAAATAATTAACACAGCCAGCATCGATTGCCATCGACCACTTGCGCGGCTTTCCCTGCGAGGACAGATATGAGCACAGCCATCTACCGGAAGTTAGCTCAGTTTTGAAGTGGCAAGATGCAGAATGCGTTGATTCTTTCGACTTTTGTGATTACGTAGCGAGCAGGAATAACGCACGACTAAAAATGTGCCTAGGGCGTAACCGGGTAAGCAAGTTCATAGGAAAGTTTGTAAGCTGGCAAACTGAAGGGGCGACGGGGAAGACGGCAATAGAAAATAGAGTTGAGGAATAGCAAGGACGTGAGCGGGATAAAGGCAGCTCTTGTGATGTCGACAACAAGGGCCCATGATATTCAACCTAAGTGTCGTTTGCGTATTTAAATAACCATACAGCAGAACAGCGTCTAGCAACTAGTGATCCGTGGGCCTGTCTATTTGCCCATCTGCACGTCCATGCGCTTGCCCGTCGTCGTCCATCACACTATTGTCACTCGTAAGGTCCGACTCACTGAATGAATGCGTATGATCATACATATGATCTTTCTTGGCTCGTGTCGGCTTTTTGGACGGTGGCATTTTCGCTGTTTGGCCGGGTTCAGTTTTGTGTGCCTATTTGTACGTCGTTAATGTGGGTCGCTGTGTTTGCTCTATCCCAATAGCATCCTTAGCACCCTTTGTCTGAGTATCTCTTTATCTGCATGACCGGATATGAGTGTCCACAGAGAAAAGTATTCTTGTCACTATTGTGGGCGTTGCTATATCAACACGATGGACCGTCTACAGTTTGGCGAGCCTATTCGTCCTTGCCGTTGGTTGCTTCCTCTTTAAAAAGCAATGGATAAAGATGTTGCAGACAACACTCGGGCCACTGCTGTACGAGACGTTATCAGATCGCTAGTCCGTTCTATCCCACAGTTAACTACCTTCACACGACCAGAGGTCTGTTTGACACCAATAATTAGAAAAACGATAAGCTATGTAAGATTGCACGGGTAATAGTATTTTATATAAACGTTTCTACAAACTGTGAGTGACGACTGGTGATTTTTACTGTAGTATCGGCCAAACAACTAAATTCAGTAGCAAAATGTGCCTTGCTGTAGTCGCACACTCAGTGAGTTATACTAAAAAAAGTACATAGGGCATATTACCGCAGTTTCGAAATAAAATAGTTTTTATATGCTGGAGATATATATGTATACTGATACGTTTATAGAACTGCATAGTGGTCCGTAAATACGTAATAAAGTATGTTTTTCTGTATGTTTATCCGCTAGTCCGTCTAGGAATCAATCTGCGACACCTGCTGTATGTTTGATGGCTGACTATAAAGGCAGGGGTTAATCACTGAACAGGAACGTGTTTGTCTTTGCGTCTCTTCTTTCCGGTTTTTCAGTGATTGATTTTAGTGCGCCAAGATGTGCACTGCAGGTTCTAACAGTGTCGAGGAATAAGTAATTCTGTTCCAAGTGTCTTCTTTATAAAACGATTCGCACTATGTTTTTTTATATCTTGTTGCTCCTTCTTTATTATGTTGACAGCTCATTTAATTAATTGAAGTTCACACTTCGCTGTATTAATGGGCTATAAGTACGATAGCCAAGCCATAAATTGGGATGTTTTGTAAATTCATGGCTCTTAACTTAAGAAAGCGAGAACGGCTTAGCGTACTGCTTTAGCAACAGTTGGCGATGCTTTTACGCTAACCTTTAAGACCAATGCCCTGCAAGTCGGAAAAAAATGCATTTCTCCTCGACGCAACGAAAGCTTAGCGTCTCCATTAGTACGTACAGAGACACCACTTTTGATAAACCTGGCTAACGGCAGTAAGGTTTTCTGGCAAGGTTAGGAGGTAACTACAGCTACAAGGTGCTTAGGTTGAGTCCGCAAGAGCACGACAGAACCTCAGCAATCTGGGTAAAGGATGCCAAAGGTAGCATTAAGCAACACCAATGGAACGAGTTTTCGTTCGAGTTTCGAAAACGACCCGAGTCTAGAGTAAGCTTAAAATGGCCGGAGCTATGAAAGCTTGTGTGTGTGCTCTGCATGTCCACGTTACGGTATCGACTTACGTGTATTTCTATATGTGGGTTTGTTGGTAGTTGTGACTGTGTTGTTCCTGTCTCGAACAACGAAAGATGGGCCGGGTGTAAGCGCTACTCTTGCCAAGATTAAAAATGCATCAGAACCTTAATGTTCTAGACTGAGGCAAAGCCTGAGGGCTATAGGTGGCAGTGAGTGGCTCTTGTCATCTCCAAACATACGACGCATTACCCGCGGCGACGCACTTGCTATCGACCCCATATCTCAGCTATAGCACAGACAGTAGAAATACGGGTCAATCGTAATGATATGGGAAAGCTCACACCAAAGGATAACAAAACTTACTACAAGGTGAAATAAAATTTTATAGCTTCTACGGTAAGACGATCAGCTGGTTTGGACTCCTTTTGCAATCGTTAATTTTAAACCACTTGCTGAACTGATGCTGTATTCATCTAAAAGCCAAGGAGAGGCTCAGACCACTACTTTTCCCATTAGTTCGTCGTTTTAAGACATTACGATACAGTGAATGGGGGAAGGTGTCTTCTCTCGTTCTAATATAGCAAAATTGATATAAATGTTTCTTACTGATATTTCTGAATTTGTGCATGACATGACGCGTCAAGGCCTCTCCGACAGCAAAGCTACGCCGGGCATGGATTCTTCTTAAATTTATTTAGCATATACATATTTATATTGTTGCTCGTTCCTTCATATGTAATATTGATTAACTGAGTAGGAATTACAAGTGTTAATGCTTGACCAAATTGAATTAGGCCTCATTTTCATACCTTGTTTTAGCAGTATGTCTGACTCAATAGTGGTTGTTACATAATAATATTTCGTATATACAGTTTTTTCTAGTTTCCAGAATTTAAGATCTCACTATAGTTAAAATCGGACTCGACGTGCACTCAGCGGATGTTCATTGTTATTTTTCTGTCTAATGGTTCCCTGTAGAAAGGTCTAATAGGCACTCGAGGTCTTGCAGTAGGCTTTAGCCGGATGTCCTTTATTCGAATCTGTGCATCTATACCTCACTCAACTAGCCTACAGTCGGAGTGGAGTTGGTGAATGCAAGCACACGATACTACATGTCAAACGCGAAGCGCATGAGTGACGAATTTAACTCGGATCTGTCGGTTACAAGCTCAGTCATAAAACATAACCAACCTAACGGCGGTGCCTCTCGGCTGTTGTTTTTCTCCGTATGCTTCGCCCTCTGTTACAGCTTTTCTTACTGCTACGAGACCAAAGAGGCCCACACCTTTTTCTTCAAGAACATCGTTGTATGCCTGTGGACTTGACCTTATGTCTCGATATTTTTATACTCTCTCCTTTCTAAGCAAAACCTGCACAATAGGATGCTGTATCGCGCCGTTTGTCACAATCCGCTTTATACTCGAAAGAATTCATGATTCGCACGAACTCCAGTTGACCACATGGTGATTACAACAACACAAATAGTCTTATACATCTTTAACTGTGCTACAAACTTCAGTCAGAGTGCAAAGTTCGACTATATGCTGTTAATTCCAGAACTTAGTATGAATCATATAAATAATAAGTGAGTTGATGCTTTGTATGTCTATAGTCGACTAACAGCTCTTTCTC